GACAGCGTATTCATTTCCAGGCATCCTCAAGTGGTTTGAAGTCAAACAGATTACAACGGTGAGTTCTGCATATGGTCTGGGTCTCATTCCCTCCAATCTTTCATGGAATAGAGAGGCTTGCAACAGTTAGGACTACTAGTCCTTCCACTGTTGGATGTGGCACACCAATAACTTCTGCTTCAGATAAAAGCAAATGTGTATCTTCTTTGATGTGCTTGTCTTTTTATGCTATTCTGCAGACAGCTCTACCCAAGGCAGCGAAGTTCTACATTGACTGTATAATGCTTGGGAGAGTGGTTAATTCTGTAACATACTCCACAGTCAGCAGCCAAGTCCTAAACTGTTTTTCCTTCGGGTTAAGGTGTAAGATCGTTCTTGCACTGATCTCTGAATGGCAAGATAGTTAGCACAGGGAGTCCAAAATCCTCTGCTGGAAACTATTGGGCTGCCGTTCATACACGAGGAGTTACGTAATTTCATATTCAGTGGAGGTGAATGAAGGTTTATTCTGTTTCTTCTTTCCGTCAGGAAGAGATCAGCCCCTTGGAGAACGCCATAGAAACGATGGAGCTAACCAATGAGAAAATCAGCAACATTGTCCAACAGCATGTCTGGGACCGGAGTCTTCCTGTACATCCTCTCTCTATGCTCCTGAATGGGATTGTGGACCCAGCGGTCATGGGGGGATATACCAACTATGAAAAGGTCTTTTTCACGTTTATCTGTAGCTCAGTCTGACCTCTGCAGTGTTGAAGACCTGAACTGAAATGTGGGAGATTCAAGTTCAGTTTTCAGCTGTTACTCAGACATAGTGTGTTCTGTAGCTATATCTGTCTGTTCAGAGCTCAAAAAGGAGGAGAAAAAAACAAAGAGATTTCCCCTAGACTGGAAGGTGGAAAAACCCCACATCTTTAGTGGTTTAGTGTTTAGTTTTAGTGCTGTGCATTGCCACAGAGATGAGTGATCCAGCTCTTTTGGGCCTCATACGGTGGTGATAATAGCATGGCCCTACCTCATGGGGGCATTGAGGTTCTTGGTCAGCCCAGAAAAAACAAAGAAAAGCAAAAGAGGTAACGTTTCTCCATTGTGTTAATATAGAATGGTAAGGATTTCTCTTTCCAGCAGATAATCTGTCTGTGGAGTTTTGCAGCAAAGAGCATATATTTCAGGAAGAAAACAGTGTTTCTTATCCAGGTTTATTCAGTTGACTTCAGCTGAACAGTGTATGTTCTTCCTTTATTGTGATGTTTATCTTAAGCTGTTTATTCCCAGTATCTAATGATGGTATTCCCAGCACAAAATATATTGCTTATTTTCATAAACTGAATGGACGGTGTTAAAACACATTTAATTCTTCTCAGATGTGTTCCAGTCACATGAAATGAAGTGCAAAAGTTAAATGGGAGAGGGTCTGATTTATCTGGGGTCTAACTCTGCTGATTCCAGAGGAGTCGCTTACTTTGCCAGGGCTGAATTTGGCCCTAAATCCTCCTATTTTATGAATTAAGGTTGACATAAAGTTTAGAATCACGAAAGTGGGAAAGCAGTTAAAGCTAGGAAACACAAAGTATCTGTAACCACATCTGGAAACACTCATTTCTGGTTCATATTTTCCTATTCCAACTGAAGATCAGTACAGAACATTTGGCTTTTGTGGGCGGCTAAAATCTTGAGTTTTAATTGTTTCATTGTAGCCAAAAGCCAAAGTCTGCATTTTCAACATGCGCTTTCTTCTTGCAATAATTAAACACTTTCAAGAAAAATCCACCGGGAGCTACCCGGCAGTCCTTTCACAGGCTAACCTCCTCTTGACATCAGCCTTTTTCAGAGTCGTACCGCTAGGCCTATAAACACTTGTACATACAGTCCAGTTAATGGAACGCAGAACGAAGAAATATATGCAGAGACTGAAATGGATCAGAGATGCGTTTTAAAACCAAATGAAAAATTATTAGGGGTTTTATCTAGGAAAAAGAAAAAATAAATTCTTCTGACCAGGAATCGTGATACATTTCAACGCAATATACTGTAGCACATAATGTGAATTGGCACAATTTGAAGGCTTCAGTCCCGGAAAGTGTCCTTGTGTTTGTTCAACTTTAAACCGATACCAGATTCTGTTGATTAAAGGTAAACACATTAGAAGCGTAGACTAAAGGTGCTTTGTTGAATCAAACTGTGAGTCAAACTCTCAACATGGTCTTTATTTCTACTGAATCTTTGTAACAAGCCCCACGTGAAAATGTTGTACTTAAGGGCTTAAATCATAGAACTTAAGGAAATTGCAGGCAGGAGATGCCCTGTTCACCTTTCTGCCGCTGAGGTTGTTTGCCTGTCATTGTGTACTGTAGGTCATTGAATGCTAAAAATTAAAGAGACTCCTTGAAGTGAAAACTCAACTGGATCTGCTACTCGCATTTGAGTGACAAGTAATGTAGCCTTGATTATTCAAATCGATACTATTTTATGAGAATGGAAATGGAATTGAAGAAAACCCTTGTGATAAAGTAACTTTTTTTTACATATCAGTGTTTTACCCAAAAAAGAGTAAAATTTGGGGTTTGTTTATTTTTTTATTTTTACAAAAATAGCCTCTTTTCCCAGTTCTCAACAAATGGTTCTTTCTCCTTCAGCTTTGTGTCACGGAGATATTAAAAAAAAAAAAAAAATTTGCTATGAGGAATAATGCTAATTAATTGCTTTTAAAGTACAAGGATCTTTCACTCAGAGTTAGCTGTGAAAGCAACGTAGTGTCTCTATCATCGTCTCTCTTTGCTTTCAGGCCTTTTTCACAGAGAAGTATATTCAAGAACATCCTGAAGATCAAGATAAAATTGAACTGCTTAAGCAACTAATCGCTCTGCAGGTATCATATGGGGAAAGAAGTGAAAGCACTATGTATGAGTGCAGATGTTTTTCCAGCATCATTGTTTTGGAGACATAATGCAGATAAATACTATAAGAACATTCTGGATGTGTGTACAGTTGTTTTTTTATTTTGAGGAAACTGTCATGTTCTAAAATTGTGGCCTTCATGTATCTTGTGTTGCTCTGAAATGTTATTCTGGAATAATTGCCAACGTGGCATAGTTGTTTGGTTTGGTTTTTTGGTTTTTTTCCCCTCGTGAGTGTAACGAAATATCTGTTACCTTTTCATGAAATCATCAGACCTAATGTTTTGTCAGTCTGACCATTGAAAGTTTGTCTATTTTGACCTGCATAGCAATGAAAAATTGCCCTAGGTTTTTTTTGTAATGCAAATTGCATCCCTGCAGACCAGTTTTTACACATTTCCACACAACAGAGCCCTGTTAAAGCTACCTCATAGTCACACAGCTTTGGGGGCTAAGAAGTGATACTCCAGCATTTAACATACTGTGTTTTCCAAAGCAGAATGTGGAATCTGAGTAGGGAAGAGGGAACCATACGTATAGATGGGGAAAATGTTCATGTTTCTTGAACACATAGAGCTCAGGTTACTACAGTGTCATAAGTTATGAGTCAGTAGCTGAGCTTCCTTACTGTATAATTGCTTTTTTTGCCTCTGCAAACTCAAAACACATTGATTTAAGGCCTTTGATTGTATCTGAGATGCGTAACATGCATAGAAAATTCCTTCCTGGAACAGGAGAGCTGATTTGCCCTTTCGTAGCTTAATTTTGTTCCTCCTTTCAGATGCCATTGTTGGCAGAAGGGATTAGGATCCATGGTGAGAAGCTGACGGAACAGCTGAAGCCTCTACATGACAGACTGATAGCGTGTTTCAAAGAGCTGAAGAAGAAAGTGGAGAAGCAGTATGGTGTAATAACCTTGGTAAGTGTACCTGGTTGTTTAGCGTTTTGCCTTAAAGAAACACAACTTTCCCCTTTCCCAGTTGTGACTGAGTTAAGTGTTACATGATTTACCACAAGCATATTTGTCTGCAGCCTCCCTCCCTCACCGAAAGGAAACAGAGCAGGTCAGGCTCCGTCGTGTTGCCTTATATCATGTCTTCCACGCTGAGAAGGCTCTCTGTCACATCTGTGGCATCTTCTGTGGTCTCTACATCTTCCACGTCATCTGATAGCACTTCCTCCAGACCAGGTTCAGACGGGTTAGTAATCAGCCTTTACATGTGATGTACAAGACCAGGGATATGCCTTTGCTAGAATTAGTTACTCTTAAAATGAACATCGATTCCATACAATTACAATAGTAATAGCTGTGCATTTAAAACTTTAAATGGAGGCCAATGTTGTCATTCCGTTTTACGGACAGGGAGTTTGAAGCACAGGTAGGGATAGGTCTGGGAATTGAACCCACGACTGTTTGTCTCTGGGGTCCCAATTATCTACATGATACTGAAGAGGGATGGATGTGGTGTATTTCAGATGCACACTATTTCTGTTTCCCAGGAATGCTGGAAAACAGAGGTGTAAGATACTACAAGGTAATTTAGTTTGTGGTCTGCAAAGAGGTGCATAGTCATATGGTACTTGTTCTACCTACCTGTTTGCAGCTGCATACATGGCATTAAAAAGAGCTGCCACACACGGAAACATTTCCTGATGTTACTTCTCTGTCCATCTAGTTTGCATCTGTGATAGCCAGGGAGTCTAGGTGACTTGCTCAAGGTCACACGGCAGACTCGGTGGCAGGGTTCAGCATAAAATGCAGGTCTGGCTCCTTCTGCAAGTAGATCACACTTTATCTTGTACGTAAGGCATTATACTCAGATTTCCTGGGGTAACTTAGGAGCACAAATCTCACTGAAAATTCCATGGTCATAGCTCAGTTTTTCACATTAATTTCTTATGCAAACTCGGAGCTTTCTAACAGACAGCGCTTTAAATGTCTGGTGGACTAATGTTTCATGTTTTTTCACTCTTTTGGTGTGGGCTGCAGATCTATTCTGGAGCCTCTCTTGGAGAGAAGGATATCAACAGCTTCCAGAGCTGAGGAACTGCCCGTGAAAGACGATGGTGATAACCGGATTAGCAAACTCAAGAGGAAGGACTGGAGTATTAGCAAATCTCAGGTTATTGTAGAGAAGGAGCCAGAAATGGAACTGACTTCCAAAATGGTAAAAAAAAAAAATAAAATAATAGCAATAATAAAATCCACAGCAGGAGATTTTAGTGTTTCCGTTGCTTTCAGCCATGCTTGTCATTGGGAACTTCATTAAATAGTAGGAGGGGTTCAAATACCAAAAGCCTTGGTCATCTGAGTAATTCTTACTTTTTTATTTGGAAAACTTGTGTCACAGACTGAACTGCAGTTTGGCTTAAGGTGCAAACTGGAAGCATGAGGCACTGATGTTTCATTTAGGTGCTCAGTGCCCTCATTTCTTATAGGCGTGGAGGACTGCGTGATGCTCTCAGCACAATGTAGAATTGTTCTGTTTTTGTTGGAGCAAGCAGATACTGCTAGCCCACTCAAAAATCCAGCTGGCAAGCCAGATGTTCAGCTGCTGTCAGTCAGCATCACTGCACAAATCAAATATACTGCAAGGTGAAGATCAGTTTGATGGATTGAGGAGTTGAAAAAGATGGTCTGGTAGTTAGGTCACCAGCTTAGGACTTTGAAAAACTGGATCTTCCAGTCTGTACTCTGCTCCAGACCTCCTGCGTGAGGGCAGGAGTGTTTACTCCTTGAGCAAATTATTTGCAAAAGAGGCATAAAGGAGAATCTATACCCCCACAGGAGTGTTTTAACGAGGAATATATTGGAGACTGTTAGGCATTCAGGTTGACAGTGGGATTCAGCATGATCACCTAATACAAACGGATAAGTTTCAGCCCAAAAGTAGAGTTGTATGACCTTGGAGTATTATCCTGATTTATGCTAAGACTATATTACACTGTCAGAGGGTATGCGAGAATTAGGCATCTGAGTATTTAAACCGGTGGCTCGGTGATAATTTGACTTAACACAGACTGCGTAAATAATGAGAAAACATGAGTAGTTCTGTTTCCCTTTCCCTCCCAAGATCTCAACTGAATCTGGCGGGAACAGGTTATGCTGCTATATATTCAGGAATTCTCATCAATTCTGAGTAATGCTGCCAGCAGTTGGAGTCTGCAGAATATTTATAAAAAGGGGAACTGTGGTTCTAGAATCATGTCATTTGGTATTGACAGGCTTTCCACTCAAGAGGCAAATCTGGGGTTGTAAATATTAGTGGTTCAGGAGGCCTGGCCCTCTGCCTCTGGAAGAATTAAATGGGTTTAACCCACAAACTGTGATGTCAGCTGCTGATCACTTTATTGAGTAAAACTAGAGGGACAAGATCTGGGAGAAAGCCCATTTGTATCGACCAGTTCTCTAGGACAGTAAGGCATGTCTGGCCAAGACTTGGCATTGCAGACAGCTGAGAGATGCAAAACAGAACACCCACCCTGCCCTCTCCCCCCATATCTCTGAGGGCAAATTACATGTGTGATCGGCTTACTGAAGGGAATGAGCAGTTAAGGGTTATATTCATGCTTAAGAACATTGCGAAGTACAAAGAAAGCTGTTTTTTATAGCTAGTCTGTTCCAAAGCTGGATAGTGCAGCACCAGAATTGGACAGACTGGTTTTATGCAGCTCTTGACTAAGCTGCTTGGGAGCTAGAAAGCCAGAGGGAACCAAAGGCTTGCTGTACATCCAGCAGCTTTGGTCTTTGTAAGTTTTATATTCACTGTACTCTCTGTGGTCCCTTCTGCACAGTGAGAAGGACCGTAATATTCATGCACTGGACTCTTGGGACCGTACTCAGATAGCCTCACAATTTGAGTGAAGAGCACAGAGGATGTGCGTGACACTGGAAGGAACTGGAACAACACCTCCCGAGTCCCAAATGCAAGAGATTTCCTCTGTAAAGCCTGAAGTAGACTTGTTTCACAGACCTAAGGAGCTGGATGATACTAGCAGTCCTGACTTGCACCCAGAATTTCAATTTTTTTTTTTTTTTTTTTTTTTTTTTTTTTTTTTTTTTTTTTTTTTTTTTTTTTTTTTTTTATCTTGGAAAGACCTTTTTCCCCCCAGATTTGTTCACAGAACTGCTAGTCAAATGCAGCAGTTTTTCAGCTTGTCGTCTTCCCTTCTTAGTTAATACACACAAAGGTCGTTAAAAACAGTTTACTATTGCTACCTGGTTAGTAAGGTCCCACAGAAAACTGGATGTGTCATAGGAGCACAGTGTGTGCTTTTTGACATGGCTTAGCCAGTGCAGCGGTTTCACTCTTACGTTTCACCTGAATGCACCTTTCTCTTACGCATGACTTTTCTGGAGCATGTTGATGTCTTTGTGACAGGTCTGATTGTCTGATACGTGTGCAGCAATCTTGCCGACTTCTGAAGGTTTTGTTTACTCTTTGTTTCAACCAGGGCATGTCAGGAAAAGCACAAAGGCCAAAGAGTCTTCAGTTAGGAGACAACAGACTGACTTTGCTTCAGGGTTCTTCACTCCAGCAATCAACGCCTTGCAGCCCACCACCTATCACTCCCAAAACCCCAAGAACCCAAAGTAAGTTCTATATAGAGCAATTGCCACATCCTTCAGGGCAGCATCTGCAGTAGTAGGCATTAGTACATATTTGCTGAGGTAACCTCACTGGGGAGGGAGAGAGGGAGGGAGGAACTGCTCTGAGGTAGTTCACCGAAAGCGGCTCTGGGCTGTTAGTGTTTGTAGATGTTTCTGTCAGATAACAGAATTTGGCAGTGTTACCGAAAGCACTACGATCATACTTGTGACTTACACTAATTTTAACAAGTGATATGTATCAGATGAATGCCAGAGAACAATTTTTATTTCTTTCAATTTCTTTCTTATATTGACTTGTGGGAAGGTATATTAAACCTCAAGGTGAACACCACGTGCAATCAATGTAGACGCTTGTAAATGCATCAAGTGAGATGGTTACAGCACATACTAGAGGAATATCTCCTGTGAATTCACTGGATGGAACTGCATCAATCCAGCATGGTATTTCTGATCAGGTTTATGGCTAAATTTTCTGGGCAAGCCACGAAAGCTTGTTAATTAACGAACAATAACTCCCATCGCATGGCAAAAAGTTTTAGGAGAAGTTGCTCTGCAGCTTGGAAACTCAGCTAATAAATGTTACAGCTGAAAAAGAAGGAATTTATCTTGAAGAATGAGCAAAATGAATGATTTGTGCAGTTACCTTCCTTGCGTATCCAGTAAGCTCTGTAGTTAATTCTGAAGCAACATATAAATACGGCTAAGATATAAAAATACAACTGTAGTGTCACCACTGCCAACTTCCTGGCTTGCCATTGCATTTCTCCCTCTGTTGCTCTTTTTTAGAGGGACAGAAATGTAGGACCTGACTGTCCTTCCTCTTAAGTGGATATAAATTCAGAATCCAGCGAAGATAGTGATCTAAACTAGCATAAAACTGTTCTGAGAGGATTAAAACAAAAAAATACATATTGGGGTGGGGGGCAGGGTGGGGAGACAACCAGAAACACAAACAAATGCAGGAATACTATATGAAGAGAGATCTGTGAAAGGAATGTGAAACCTCGCTCTTCTACTTAGCAAGTGGTTTTAATTGCCATTACTAGCAGCACAGCTTCCCAGGAATTCTTCTGAAGTTTGGGTACTTATCTACTCCATCAACTGGGGTTAAAATCAGAGTGAAATTCTCAGGTTGAGGCCCAGGCTGAAAGGAAACCCCACTGAACGTTGCAGATGTGATAATGGATTCAATTTTCTGTTCTCTCAGGCATGCATTTTTCACATAGACTTAGATTCATTTGATGAAGATAGAACTCTTCTGGGCATTTTGAACTTAAGGGAGATACAACTGCGACTCTACTTTGACATATCCATTCATGTTTAGCTGTTAAAGCAAAGAACTGTTAGCAGATCAAAAGCACAAGATATTAAATGGTTCTCCCTTAAAATTCTACATGGTCAATCCCATTTCCCATTCCTTTTCCGCCTACTTTAATGTCTTTTCTTATTATTGTTGTTGCTTCTAGGTTTTCCCTCATTGCAAGCTGATGGATTGGCAACTGCTAGCTTACAGAGCACCCCACCCCCACCTCCGCCCAAAAGCAAACCCTATGAGAATAGCAACCCGAGGAATTCTGTGGAGGTAAGGAAATGAGAGCTGACACTTTTTTGGAAAAGAGCTTTTGAGAAAGAGACACCAGTGGAATTTTCCAAGCTGCTTCTAGGGTGGTGCTACTTGAAACTTGTCTAATCCTTTTACTGGTTCACTCCCTGAAACCACAAAAGAATAAAAATTTTTTTGCTTCAAGAGAAGGCCATCAAGTGCAGTCCCTTTTTTTTCAAGTGGGAGTTATGTTGTCCTTGGTTAGGCAAACTGTGTCTGGGGGTGGGAAGATATATTGAAAACAAACAAGCACAAGGATTAAAAAGTTTCAAAAACATGATCAATGTAAAATAGCACAGTAATCTGGTCCTGAAAAAGAAGGGGAAGAAAAAATACACACATTTTCGGAAATAATAAATGTCTCCTCCTGAGTCCTCAGCTTAGAAGAATCTAATTTTTCAAAGTATGCATTATTAGTCACTTAAACCAGCCTGTATTATACAACCATCTTAGCCACAGCCTTTTTCTCAATTTCATCAAGTTGGTTTCCTTCTAGGAACATCAAATTGCCACTTTTTTTTCTGTATCACTGATGGTTTCTCTTGCCCTGTGGGATTCCAAACTTGCAGATACTTAACATGCAAATACTCTGGTCATTGTGTCAGAATAATTTCATCTGCTCCTGAAATATATGAGACTGTAGTTGCTTACCCATGCACAGCAACAGAAAGTATCCTTTTGTAACTGTGAAAGGGAAGAATGTCTTCCCCGGTCCAATTTGCAAAGAGGATTTACGGAGTACCTTTGTGAGATGAACTGGAATTTGCCCAAAAAGAACTGAAAGAATGGTCGCACTTAACAAAATATATTACCTCTGACAACACGGGGAGACAACAAAACAGCTGATGGCTTAATTCTGTTAGAGAGAGAGATGACACTGACATAAAGCCCTGAAGCATGGGATAAATAGGAGGTTTTCTACTTTGCCCTTCATTTGGTCAGAATTGACTGTGCTGCTGAAAAGGGGCAGCATAGCTGCTGTAGGTGGTGTGAATGGCGGAAATATGCCAGCTCTAGGGATGCTATGGGAGTCGCTGGTTCAAGAGGATTAATAAAAGAGCCTCCTTCCCTTGAGTCTTGTAAGAAAACTAATTACTAACATGTTCTGGCTTGCAACATTGACCTTGGCTTGCAGCCAAATAAAAAGGATTTGAAGGGCTGTAAAGAGAGATTGTAAAAGTATTTTCTGAAGGGTTTTGTTACTTTGTTGTTGTTGTAAAGTTGACTCTGTCCTCCTCCAGTTAAAATAGCCCTGAAATCTTGATAGTTTTGGCTAAGCAAGTGGTGAGCCACACAAGCTTCTTGTGAAAGGCAGGTGAACATCTCATTTGGTTACCGGATGCCCCTTAAAACAAGCAGAGAGCCAGCTTGAAAGAACCCACTGGTGCAGTCTCCTGCAAGAACAAGAAACGCCTTACAGGCCCCTGCACTGCGCAGGAAGGCTGTGGCTTGCTTTAGTAGAACTTTACTTGCTACCGTTTTATGGAATTAGCGGTACCATTCTGATTTGGAAGCATTTTATAGCCTTTTGGCATGGTGCAACTCATCAAGCCAGCAAGATAAAAACAGTTGAATTTTGAAACCTTGAGGGAAGTGGATTTATTGCCGTTTTACTGATAAACAAAAGGTGGGACAGAGGGACAAATGGCTCTGACTTGAAGTCAGGCTGCAGGTCAGAAATAACTACTTTTTAGTTACAGATATACTTTATTCTAGCAACTAAAATGTATCTGCTTCTGTTACCTCCTGGAGATGTGTCCTTGTTTGCCCCTGTCATCAATTGCATGTAGTACTGAGAGGCTGAATTCAAAGATTTGGTCCTGAAAGAAACATCAAGTAGTACAGGACCTTTTGGATTTCATGTTTGGTAAAGCAAAATGTCTTAAGTTGCCAGTAATGGTTTATTATTGTGTGTGTTTTTGTTCTATCTTCTCAGGTTGCTCCACCACTACCCAGCAGACGTGAAGCCAAACCTCCCCCTCCACCCCCAAAAACCAGAAAATCCAGCGTTGCCTCTTCAGAGCCATGACTGCAGTGAGGATCATCACTTGCTGGTGTAACGCAAGCACCTAGAGTGAAACGACTGCTTTCTTTTTACTGACGTGCTGGGGTTCTCTGACCCTAAAGACTCGTGATCTCACCTGCCGTTCCATTCACTCCCCTTAGAGTTTTCTTTGGGAAATACCAAAAGGAACTGTTATTGTGACTGTACTCCCAACCTGTGGTTTACCTTTCCAGTACTGAGACACTAATCACATAGCAGGAGAAATCACCCTACTGGAATTCTTGTCTGTCCTGAGTTTTTTCACTGATGCAATTTTAGCAGCTCATTCCTAGTGTAAATCTGTCACAGTAGTGATTTGCACCAGTTTTTGAAACAAGGTAAGCCACACTGGTATGAGATGTGTCCTACAGTATTTTCACATAAGTTCATTACAGCTTTACAGCTGTACTTACGCACCGATCCCTCCTTCTGCCCCTGTAGTGTAGCCAAGCCCTGATGTGCGTGAAGTGAAACAGATCACAGCCATTCCTAAGTTGTGAAATGTCGGCTCCTGAAGATGTCAGGTGCCGGTGTATGATGTGCAGTCTCCTAAGATTCTCGATTGCAGGCAGAGACCTGAGCATCGTTAGCAGAATAAGAAGTCTTTTTTTCTGCTAGTCATCATATGTATTGAAGATGAAGTGCAGACATTCTGCCTTACACCGTCTCTGCTCGAGTAGTGGCAGTTGCTCACTCCCAATGGAGAGTTTAGGTTTACCATTACTTTGTCATAATTTCACTGTTGATTCTGGTTTTAACCCTACAGAGCAGTTGATATTATGAATTATGTTACCTGCTTGGTTTGTGCTTGCATCTGGAACTTGGTACAATATTTCATCTTTGGGCTTTTTAATGGGGTGTAAAAAGTTGCTTCTCTCCTGTGAACAGATGAGAAGAATAGAAGCTGCATTGATACCAGCGCTGTACTGGTACCAGCAACTTTGAGAGGATGGAGTGTGCAAAACTAGTTATACATCCTGACCTCAGACACAAAGTCTGATAGTTACTGTAACCTTTACTTTGGCTGGGCAAATTCACACAAATATAAATAATTCTCATCCTCTTCTTTTTTTTTTTTTTTTCTTCCCCTGCACCCATTTGTGGCAGTACTTGCACTTTGTTTTATAGCCTCCCTTGATCTAGGTTTTTAACAGCCACTAGACTTAAAGGAGCTGTTTAGACCTGGGGTGCATGTGAAAGACTTGACAATTAACCACTTGCTTTCCTGTTGCTTGGATTACTCCAGCTCTCTGCAGCTTTTCTTTCCTTGGAGGATGGGATAATCTGTTTAATTTTTCTTTTAGTTATTTATTCCCTGCTCTGTCTGGATGTCAGCATCAATCTTCCTATTTGTCTAGAGAAAAAAGGACATGATCTTAGGTTTTAATGTTTTTAAATTCACGTGATCCATGCAGAAGGCGGCTGTTAGAATAGCCTGTCCTCACAGTTGCATAGTGACGGAAAATTCAACACAAATATCATTGTTATTTATGGACCAGATGGGCCTTAGACACAGCATTCCTCTGTGCCTGAGCTGCCACTGGAAGCTTGCTGGTAAAAACCAGAACGTCACCGTTTGTGTTTAATACTCTTACTGTTGGCAGATCCATTTTGCACCTCTCAAGGCTACTTGTCTCCGAGCTCTGTTAGAAGGGCTGCAACCCTGGGGTGGGGACTGCTCTTCTGCAGCAGGCTTACAGGGAGTTCGTGCAGCACGTGAGCCAGAAGACAAGTCGGTGTAAAATTCCCTTGCAAAGTGTATTGCTACCCTGTTCTACTCTTAGACGCTCTAGATGACTCCAAAGATAGTTACAGCAGCTCTTGTTTTGCTGTGTCACGCAGGACTTTCCTGAACGGCCTGTTTCAGAACTAATGCATTGTGAAGAACTTCACTGTTTTCTTCTAAAGCTACATAATTGAAACTTTATATCCCCCCCAAAGTTGCAGCTGCCTGTTGGTGCCACATTCCCAGCAGCTGAAAAGCCAGTGAAGTTCGGGGTTTTCTTGATTTGTAAGAATTATTCTGTTGTCACATTCAGACAGAATATTTTGCTGTGCTGTTCTGCCTGTGTGACTATTTATAAACATAGCTTTCGTCATGGCTGTTATTTTTCACTGATGCTTACTGGGGAAGGGAAAAAAATCACTCGTTGTTCCCTTTCACTGTGGAATGCAGGAAACATGGGAGTTCACCCGCAAAGTTCAGATTCAGACTTTTTGGAAAGTTCAAAGTTTCTTAAAACTCATCATAAAGAGGGACCAGCTGAGGAATTTGGATCCAAGTTTATTTCTGAACCTATACAAAACTTTGTCTGTTTGGTTACAGCTTGTGGCCTGTTTTATTTATCACTGGTGTTGATGAAGATTCCGTCATGGGCTCTCTCTTCCAGGAAATAATTTTGCTTATTACCTGTGACTGTCATTTAGCTTCTGATGATCTGATAGAAGTTTGGTAGGCACACTGAAAACCCTGCTGAGGATGTTGCTCACAGTAGTAAATACAAATACTGTTGGGTTGGGGTTTTTTGCAGGCCACTGCATCATTATTCTGCTCACATGACTTAAATGGGTTTCATTACCTTACTGAAAAATTGAAGTTTGTTAAACCTAATGAAAACTTTTCTCAGCAAAGCCTTTTTCAGGGAAAAACAAAACCAATGAAACCCTAGGGACTGAAGTAGTCCTTTCTTTTGTCATTTTGTCTCAATTGTCATAATTGACTTGTCATTTTTGTCTTTTTGTCATAATTGACTTTACAGTCATTTGGCGTCAGTGTGACTCCAGTTAAAGAAACCTGCAGAAGCTGCGTTTCCTTTGCTGCCTGCACAGCTCTGTAAAACAGATTGCTTTCATCAAAGGGTCATATTGGATTCACATCACAAAACAGGTTGGAGACACTTTGGAAGTTGCACTGCAGTCACATCACATACATCCGCAGTCGTGTTTGCTATAGCGCACATGCAACTGTCTTCTGGGCTGTTGCCTTCTCAGGGGAAATCTTTGAAACCTTTCTGGACAACTTGACCATGGTTCACCCCGTCTCTCTGGTGCTTTGTAGGACTTGTCAGCTCCACGTTATGTTCTTGGATGTAGACGCTGCTTGACTTGAAAACCTCAGGGTTTTCTTGTCTTTCATTTTTTGTCCACTTCTTCCTCTTCTTGTAACCACTGTCTTCCTTCTGCTGCACACATGAATTAAAGCACTCTCTGAAGCTCTTCACTTGAACAAGAACTTTGTCTTCGGCAAAAACTTTGCTTTAGGCAGAACAGCAGGATGCAGTCCGAATTGCAGAAAAGTACGTTTCCCCTTGCCTTTCCCCATTGCATTTCCTTTTCAGAGCAGGTTTGCTTTTAACTCCTTTGGTAAGTCAGCAGAAACAAAGGAGACTTTGCTGGAATCCCAGCTAATGGTTTGTCTGTGTGGGTAAACAAACTAGCTATCAAGTTTGTGTATTTTGGTTCCAGGGGACTTTTTTGAGTCTTATTTCCTTACCTGTTTGATCTGCTTTAATAACTTTAACTTGTAGATGTACCTCGTACATTCAGCAGGTTTTTTTCCTGGAGGAGGAAATTAGTCCATGCAAAAAAACCTCATGGGAGGAAGTTTGACCTTGGGAAGAATTTCTCAGCTGATCTTTAATGACCCTTTACATAATGCTCTTTAACTTGAGGAGACTTGGTTCTGACTGCTTTTTTTTGCAGTTTTGTAGACTAGGTTTCTGAACAGAGTACTTAGCATGTAAGTGGTTAATTATCTTCTCCCTTCCTTTCCTTCCTTGGATCGTGCAGCTGCCAGCCATTAGGAATAAGAACAGTTGCTGTCTCTCCTGTGTGCTGATCCTAGGTGCTAGTACCTGAGCTAGCAAGGTGCCCAAGTCACCTAGAGAGTCAGGAGAGCAAGCAGGGTGGTGGCTGTAACCCACCCCAGTGCTGGCAGAAGTCTAGGAAGCTTCAGTGCTCTGTGTCATTTGAGCAGTGGCTGAAACAGGCCTTTCATTTGTATTTTGATCTTTGGCTTTTACTGTAGAGCCAGCTCCTTAAAAAGCAGTGAAGGTATTATCTTCCTGTATGCTCTGCCTTGCAATTGCAATGTCTCACCTGGCAGGTTCCTTAAACTTCATCTTGGTATGCTGTCCACACAGTTCAGGCTTCTCTTCTTGCTGCCTTTGTTGTCTGGCCAGTTGGAGACTGTTGTAGCCATCACCCTAACTGGAAGGCAAGGAACAGCTGACGCCTAAAGAGTACAGAGTGAGGAGATTTCCCTTCCCCAGATATTTTGGGCATTTTCATTGGCAAATTTTCTATGCCAAAAGGGGTTTAAGGTTGGGGGATTTTTTTCTTTCTTAGCGTTATTTTTCTTCTAGAGTCTGAAGTGCTGTAAACTCTTCCCACTTCTCCTTCTTGCCTTTTGGCAAACTAACTCACAAACAGGAGTTGAGTTTTCTTAAATGCGTTACTGACTGTGGTATGTGAAGAGTTATGTTCTTAGCTGATATAAGTCAGCGTAGTTTGCTTAGAGGTACAAGATGGAATTTCTGTACCGTGCCTAAATGATGTAGGGCTTTGTGCCAGTTTTAGAAAAAAGCGTTGTCTTCTAAGTGTCAGATTTTTAAGGGCAGTTGGGCATTTGAGTGTGTGAATAAGCATGGGGCCTGACTGATTTTAATTAAGTGGAATTAAGTGCCCACAGTCTTATGAGAAATCCCACCAGACCCCTGATTTTTTTTAAGTGTTCTGTTCTTTGCTTCAGTACCTACCTGACTTAAATGCTGAGATTTAATTTTCAGAGGCAATTGAAGGTCTCACTACTTAGTTTTCAAAATGAGAATCATCTTTCCATGTTAATTAGATGCTTTTGGAAATGTCATCTAATGTCTTTTAAACTGGAGGGCTAAAAATGGGAGTGGGGAACAGTCCATAATGATGTCATCTCTGCATACCAGAAATGAAAGCAAACAGCAGCGTTTCTACCCAATTCATAGTTT